CCCACATCTAACAGGAATTTCTGCAGCAATCCTTGAACGAGAAAAAGCAGCCCCATCCCCAAAGAGAGTCACCTGGCCCCAAAGCAATCGCCCCCCTGGCTCCCTACTTCCAGCGCTCTCCGTCAGCTGCCCAGCCGGCACTCCTCCGCTCGCCGACAGGCTGCTAAATCATGGAGACAGAGAAGCAGTGTGGGGAAAATAAAAACGGCCCAATCAAATGGGTGTTTACTAACGACACCCCTAATGCTTGCTCTATCCCTCAGAGCAGCGAGGAGCTGGGGAGGAAATGCCGACATCGGCAGATTGCAATTATAGTTACAATCAATCTTTTATTAGCTTTTTGCTCTGTGGCGAAGGGAGGAGATGAGCCAGGCAGATTCGCAGAGGGGGTGGAAATTTCACTGCTTGCCGCAAAAAAATGCCGTGGCAGCCCGCTTGATATGCAAAGGGCCTGAGAGCTGCCGCCCCAGGGTGTAATTAGCACCCCAGCTAGGGCGCTGCTGAGGACGAAGGCGGTGTGGGATACAAAGGCATCGGGGGGAGATACGAATACAACCAGGAGTCCCATCTCTGCGGGACTCTGTGAGAAGGAAAACAGGCCTAGGCTGGGGAAGCAGGTGGGTGCGTGGGGGCTGCTGGTAGACATGGGATTAGAAAGCCAGAGGGCAAGTAGCGATATAGCATTTAGCCTGCACACATGTTAAGAGCACACGGTAACAGCACGTGTTAAGAGCCAAAAAACGCTCCAGCCGATGGGTCTGTTTTTAACAAAACCTTGCAGGACACAGGCCTCAATTCTGAAAGCCTCAAAGGCCCAGGGGCTGGTGCAGCTGTATAAAACAGGCAGGGCTTGGAGCCAGGAAAGGGGCATTTGAATAAATGCAGAAGCTGCAGGTGAAATGCAGCCTCAGGGCTGAGGTGTTTGGCACCGGCAGAGCTACCACCGGGTTTGAGCTCAGCTCTTATTTGACCTCCGCGCACTTGTATTACGCATCAGCCCAGCGCCTGGCTCCACTTCCCTGGCATCAGACCCCCGACAAACACCCCAGCTGCAAACCAGGAAACAAAAGGGGCACTGAGCGCTGCATGCTCCGGCTCAGGGGCGGAGGGGGATGTATTCAGGTGGGTTTCTGGCGTGCGAGTCTGAGAACAGAGCTGACAGCGTCTGCGACAGGCTAAGTCATCACCGCGCGGCTCTGTCAGGTCGTTAGAGAACGCTGGCTTCCAAGCCCGCGACACGTCAGACGTGATGTTTCCACGGGTCTGATGTGAACGAGCTGGATTCCAGCGCGGAGTTGAGAGGGGCACGAAACCTCAGGGAGGAACCTGCGTGACACGCGTACCTGTCACCCTGCTCCCTGCTGTTACCGCAACGGGGAAGAGGGGGAACAAGTGTTAACAAGAGCCCTTGGCTTGTCTCCCATTCCTCGCTGTCAGTCTTGTGCTTTTATGAGCATCTTCTTTTCCCTGGAATACTTATCCGATTTGCTTCCCCTTGTACTTGAATCAAACACAGGCTGGAAGTCAAGCAGCTAAAAAACATGGCAGTGTTCGCTGACAGCAGCATGGAAAGCGTTATACCGACGAGCGAGACCTCGCCCTCCTCTCCCGCCTCCTGCTGTCTTAGCCACCTCCTTTCCTCCTGGAAGGAAGCTGGGGACACACAGGGGACATAACCGCCCTGCGAAACTCCGTTGCGAGAGGGAACAGGCACGAGGATGGCTTGTAGGCCCTGTCTGGAAGCAGGACGCAGCACTAACAGCCTGTGCTCACAGCTGGGAAATGCTGCCTCCTGTCCCCGAAGGGGCAGCACCTGAACCCCACCTGAAGAGACACCAAGGGCTGGGGGTTCCCTGTGCCCCCGTTCTTACCTCTCCCCGAACAGAGTTACCACGACTGCAAAACTCCCAATGCAGCATCAAGAACCGAGGTCCCCCCCAACCCTGGGGCCTATTCTGACCACAGCAGACCTACAAGGGAGCTACCACCTTGCTAATACAAGTGGGACTTACAGATGAACAGGGGCTTGGGAAGGGAGTGCCTTTAAATAACCCGGATTAAAACACCCTTTATTCAAAACATTAAAACGCGTACAGGGATGCCTCCCTGAGCAACGGGGTGGTGGAGACCCGGGACGTTTCCTCCCCCCGATCCCAGGCTCTCTAGCAAACCCATGTCTCAAATCTGAACGCAAAGCAGAGCGCGGCGTCCTCCCGTCTCTCCGAGGCTTGGCTCCATGTCCTGAGGTAGGGGCCGGGCTGAGCCCGGGCGCTGCATTTCCTGAGGCATTCGGCTCCTGCGTGGCTGGCTGGACCGGACCGATGCACAAGGAGGGCCAGGTGGAGCTGGCGTCACAGCCTGGGCTTGATCTGCAGTGGCCGCCCTGGAAAGAGGAGGAGAAAGCAGGAGGTGAGCACCGAGCAAAGGCAGCGTGTGGATCAGATAAGGCCGCAGGACTAGGCAGAGCAGAGCCCCGTTACTCCGCTTTAGTGCAGCAAGAACAGGAGACAGGCCAGGTCCCAGGATGTCCAGAGCTAATAGAGCAGGATGCTGGCCAGGGTGGATAAAAATCAACGATTTAAAAAGAAAAAAATACAGGATTTTTTACATTTAAATCAGATTTTTCCATTTAACTGCATTTTTTTTACATTTTTTTAAGATGCTTTTTAAAAAAAAATAAACCTATATCAAGTTCATTTTAATATAAGATATGTTAAAGCTCAAAGATGTCAGCATGGAATAGGGATTGTAACTTCTAACTCTATACCATTTGAGACAATATACTCATATAACCTTTTCAGAAAAGTTTTATAAATAGGTCACAGCAGGCCATGGACTATATCTTAGGGGAGTCCGATCTTAGGGGGTTCCCAGAGGCTCCTCTACAGATTAGTAAAGATTAAAGAAAACAGCTCTACCCAGTGGGACTCAGTGCTCAGAGAAGATCCCATGAAGCATCTCTGTGACGCTTAGTTTCTGTTCTCAAACTGCAGACGTGTCTCCAGAGACAACATCCTTGTTCCCAGCAGCGTGTGGAGATGAGAGAGAACAGACCTGATGACCCACCCAGCAGCCCTCTTGTCTCCCTGCAAGTGTGTGCGCACAGAGCCAAGCCCTCACCTCTCTATAAAAGTGCTAAGTTTCAAGAAGTTAAATGAATAAAGGATACCGAATCACAAGATGCACTTTTTGTCGGGAAAAAAAAAATTAAATCGAGGCTTCATGACCAGTGATTTAAATCAAAAATCGATTTGATTTAAATCAAATTCATCTTGATGTCCATGCACGCTGAACTGTGTTGAAGAGGCGTTGCTGCCACGCTGCCCACCCCGGGCAGCCCCTATACTGGCTTGGCTCCCGAGCTGTTTCCAGCACTGGCTGCCCACCGAATCCCAGCCCAATGCAAGATGGGGCAGGAATTGCCTCCCTCGCAGCGCTCGCACAATATGCACTTAAACAACCGGCCTCACCCCAGACAGCGAGGCACTGGGCAGGAGGACTCGGTGAAGCCCACAGCTATTTATCCACATGGCAGAGGAAGCCTTGAGCCCATTGCTCCTTGTCGTGTCCTCTGCCACCACTGAGAACAGCGGTGGGTAAAAGCAGCGGCAGGAGAGCGGGGGTCTATTCCCAGCCCTACCACAGACTTTGTGCTTCCCCAAGTCATTTCACGTGCGACTATTGCTTCTTGGAGCCTCAGCTGTCTCATCTCTATAATGGGAACAGCATTGCACCATGCAGGGAGCGGGGCAGCCAAACCAGCTGGATGTTTGCAAAGCCCCTTGGAGGCACTTCCACAGGCCGTTCTTGATACGAGCTCCACGTGCTATGCTATGATTTGGGGCTGCACACGTTACGTGTGCGCCTGGCGCCGCTTTGCTGCGAACCGCTGGAGGATCCCCGCCCTTGGGCACGTGCCATCTGGTGCCTCCCACAACAAATGAGAGGTCTTCAGCGGGGCAGCAGCTGCCACTGAGCCAGCGTGACTAACCCGCTCCCCCTGAGCCGAAGCAGGGGTGGGTGGGGGAGAGGGGAGTTTGCTCCCAAAGCTCCTTGCTCGCCACATCCGATTTAAACATCTCGGACCCCCCGGGGTCGTGCAGAGCTCCTGTGCTCTGCCAGTGACACCGCTCCACATGTCCCCTTCTCCCTCGGCAACCTTCCTGTTGTTCCTGGATAGAAATCGCCTCCCAGCTCCAGGTGTGCTGGGTCCCCCGTCCTCCCCTCCTTTGAATCCCTCTGCCTTCAAGAGCTGCAGCTCCCCTAATCCTCCCACGCCAGCCACGGCAAAGCTCTCCCTGCTCTGCATCTCACCGGAGGAGAAAGGCATGACAGGAGACCCTGATCGTGGGTGGGTCTCCCAGCATGTCTGTCCTGCGCTAGAAGCAGCCCCTTGCGCAGGGATGGCCTTTCTACAGATCTCGTGTAGTGCCGAGCTCGCGGGCACTGAGCCCTCTCCAGCGTGAGGGGCCTGGATCAGGCCTGGGAGGTCTGCTCCACCTGGGAAGCCAATTTCCCGACTGCTCCGTGCTTTACAGCTGCACCGGGGGAAGACGTCGCCCACCCCTGCCACTGCTCAGACCCAAAAGAACAAGGATCAATGGGCCCACGTTGCAGCAAGGGAAGTTGAGGTTGGCTATTAGGAAAAACTCTCACTAGGAGGGTAGTAAAGCACTGGAACGGGTGACCCAGAGAGGTGGTGGAGTCTCCATCCTTGGAGGTTTTGAAGACCTGGGTAGACAAAGCCTTGGCTGGGATGATGCAGTTGGGGCTGGTCCTGCTTGGAGCAGGGGGTTGCACTAGATGTGACCTCCTGAGGCCCCTTCAACCCTCATTTTCTCCGATTCTGGGAGACTAAAAATTTACTGCAGAGACGTCACAAGGTTTTATCCAACAGCAACTAACATTTGTGGGGCGATTTGTTTTCAGAACTCTTTTCTAAAAGCAAGAGAAGCAGCAATGGGTGAGGACAGGCGCTAACCACACAGGGTTGAAAAGCAGGGATGGGAGGGGGCCACTATTCAGAAACGTACACTGCCTATGTCCTTAAACAGTGTGGCTGTCTTGCCTACACTGGTATAAATAGAGTTCGACCTCTATAACTCTAAACAGGAATGAAACTGGTTTAAAGTTGCACTGCTTGATTTCCACCTCCACCGGGGTAGGAGCGGACAGGCAGAACAGCTGTACTGGTTCAGCACGACTCGTACTGAACCAGTATAGTGGGCATCCAGTGTGACTGGTTCATCTACGCACACCCAGTTTCAACATCTCTAGCCAGTGGTTTGCTGGTCTGAACACCATACCAGCAGGCAAGAAGGCCCGGCTTCATCCCCACCTCTGCTAGGCATACCACTTCTCTCTGAGCCCTTTCCCCTTCTCTGTTGTCTATTCAGGCCATCTTCTGCTGGTGACAGGGACTGGCTCAAATAGGTGTTTCTGTGCCAGCCGCAGTAAGGCCCTGATCTCTGCTGGGGCCCCTGGGACATGACTAATAGGAGCCGACCCATCTAGTTTCATTGTACGACTCCAGTGAAACTCAGAAAGCAACAAGCACCAAGGGTGAGAACTGCCTGAAAATCTCCTTGCGCTTCTAAAATAAAGCCAGGGCCATCGAGTTGTCGCCCCTGACCAAGACCTACTTTGGTACATGGCTACACTGCTGATACAAAACGACTGTGGCAGATCAGAGACTGGGTCTGGGAATTACTGGGAAGCAATCGTTAGCAATGGTTAGGAAGCAGCTGCAGAAATGCAATCGGTCAGGGGTTCCCAAACTGTGGTATGCATACCCCTGGGGGTACGCAAGGTATCTGGGGCATACGCAGGAGAAACTGTATAATAGCAGATTTAATTTTCATTATAATAATGATTGGCATTGAAGGAGCTAAAATATGCTGGCAGGGGAACACGAGCAACTGGTAAATATGGAAGGGGGTATGCAATAAGAAAAAAAAAAATTCGGGGAACCTCTGTATTAGATTGACCTCCCCAGTAGACCTCCCTACATCAGCAAGGATCACACAGGGGTTGCTTACTGAAAATGCTCCCTGCTGAAAGCCCCCTAGCTCCACACACTCCTCATGGCGAATGCTTTCATGGGAAAGCCAAGCTAGGGCAAGCACCGCACCCCTGAAACATGTCCGCTCCTGGGTGTGCTTTAACTGGGCTGGAAAATACTGCTGCTGCCTCTCAAATCCCCCTTCTGGGCAGCTCCGCATAGGGGATGGGACATTTAGCGAAAGGGACCTGGAACGATGCACTGTCACAGGGGTTACGTCTCTGTGCTAACACGTTACCTGTGTACAGGCTCAGTACATCTGCCCGTGATGGGTCTGAGACACAGTCCGAGAGGCTGCCTTAACCAGCTGCATTTTCCTAATGGAGCAAATACATCTGACAACAGGGCAAGAGCGCACAACATTCGTGGACTTCAAAAAGCGAAGGAAGCCGCAGCCAGTTTCCCAGGTCCAGGGTAGCTGAGTGCACAGGATGAGAAAGGGGTGTTGTTTGTAGCCGTGTTGGTCTAAGGACATAGGCAGACAAGGTTCTTTGGGTAGATGTGATATCTTTTTATTAGACCATCTAAATAGCTGGAAAAATAGTTCTTTGCAAGCTTTCGGGCACAAACGCTCTTCTTCAGGCATAGGGAGAACACAAACCACCAGCAGACTCTTCCTGTGCCTGAAGAAGGGTGTTTGTGCTCGAAAGTTTGCAAAGAACAATTTTTCCAACTATTAGGTGGTCTAATAAAAAGATACCATATCTACCCAAAGACCCTTGTCTGCCTAGGATGAGAAAGGCGGCTTCTTGCCCAGTGACTGCGTGTGGGGACAGATCACGTATCTCCTGAGAGCCCACAGGGGCTTGAGTCACGGACACCACAGTGAACATCTTCACCTAATGCAAACGCCGGCGCAGGAAAGAGACGACCTAGCTTGCACTCG